GTGATGAAAGTATATTTCTCGACTATTCAAATAGTAGTAGATCTTTTAGAATCTATAATAAGTGTACCCTATGCGTAGAGGAATCAGTTCATGTTATTTTTTATAATAATAACTCTATGGCCAAGAAAAGAGATTTTGCAAGTGATGAAGAGATCAGCCAAAATCAGCCAAAGATCAGAAGACTTCAAAAGAAACTGCTGACAATACGACTGAAACGTCACAGTCGACTAAGATAACTTCAATTGCTTTGTTAAGTACAACAAACAATCGCTTTAACATAAGAAAAAGTTGTGAAGACCTTCATCTTTACGCTACTCAGAGCAAAGTGTACAAAATCTGGCAAATACATATAGGAACTAACTACTCCGCAGTCATGCACTCTCCTTCCATCCACCATATTCTTCTTCTGCAGCTGCCTTCTGTCAAATTATTTCACATATCATGAGCCATTACATTCGCATTCCATCGCGAGGAAAAAAAAAGGAAGCATCATTTAACATTTTAGATGAGCATCTAATAAAGACAATCTGCAGTGCGATTTGCTGGTTATCTATATTGCTAGGACTCTTCAAAAATATCATCGTGTATGACGTTGGATTCTCTAGAAGTAGAAGTAGTGCATTTATGAAGAATGCGACACAAATACAATAATATTTTTTGGAGAATCAGAGCAACATAGGTGCTTATAGCCTTCTAAAACAGGTCAAACATATAGCCAAAACGGATCACCCCTGGACTCGGGCCAAGTTATACTTGTTTAAGATGATTGTGTGTCTCTGCATGGTAAGAGTGAAATTTATCCTACATATTTAATCCTTTCCATTTCATTGATTTTGTCCGGATCCCACCTTTTCCCTTTTTCTTTTAAAATTAAATTTTTCAAGAAAATTTTGCAAGATTTGTAAAGTTTGGCTAGAAAAATGAACTGAAGATTAAAAAGAATACCTTAGGGGTAAAAGTGATGCCAACTTGAATCTCCCCACAGTAAGATTGATTACTTCCCACCACACTATATTTTCGAGGATGAATTTCAGCTCTTCCTTTCTCCACTCCCAATTCAATCAATTCCTTCAAATAAATACTACATGTACACATAATTCATTCAATGAAATAATTACTTAGTAATAACAAGCCTAACTACTGGTAAATAATGCTTTATACATATGGTTTACTTAGTATGGACACATTTTATTAAATGTTTATAAATACAAAAATTGCTACATGGTATACAGTCAGAGTCAGAGTTTTGTTCGTCCTGATAATGCAAATAATTTTTATGGTATCGAGCTAAGTTGATGTACAACATGTAATGATCTTCATATCAGTCTAATATAGTAATATAAAAAACATATTAAATTGCATCGCCAATACAAAAACAAAAAAAAAACAAAAAAAAAAAATAAAAAAATTACACTATCAGTATATATAACTTTAAGTCAAGATATAGTGCGTTATTAGACCCAAAAAAAAATAAAAATTCTTACGTAGCTTGGCCGAGATAATCATCTGAGGAAAAGGAATCATGATCCATGAGCTTAAGTATAAGCTTGTACTGCTTATCTGCAGAGGGATACTCTACCCTGAAAGTAAACTTCTCATTCCACATTGGTTTACTGCCTTGGCCTGTAAGAATCAATGACTTTAGAAATGGGGTATTATCACTTTTTTTTATATTTGATAGCCGAAAAAGTGTATAAAATTTGTATAATTTTTGTATATACATACACAACGTATATATATACAAAAAGTATACAAAAAATATATATTTTTCCGGCTATTATTTTAAGAGCGGATATACAGGATTATTTCCCCATTAGAAATAGTACTTTTTCCATCTCATATGGATTATTTTAAGAAAAAACAGGCGAGGTGAATACAATATTTTTATTAAGGGAATTCAAAAAAGGCGGTAAAAAAGTAATGTTCGCTATGCTTTAACACAACAACTCACTCAAAATTTTGAACCCTTATTTTTATTGGTTCTAAATAGGTCGATATGGGACATTTAAATTCTGAACCTCCTTTACCATTGCTCTAGGGATATTCTTATTGTTAAGGAGATCTAATTAATAACATGAATATGTATACATATTAGTCGATTCAAACTTGTTGGAGACTGAAAACGTAGTTATTTTAATACTAACACTATATAGATATATACTTAGTAACACTACACCTTTGTGAGTGCTAACTTAGTACGAATGTATATATTTCAAAACATTAGTTAACTTTATGCATATAGTTAAGTGTGATGCCACTATCAGAGGCGGAGCCAAAATTAAAGTTTATAGGTTTAAAATTCTAGTACTTTTAAGTTATTGAATTTTAGATTATATTAACAATATATACATATTAAATGAATTTCTTAAAATAAATACATGATTTGGACCAATACTAGCGACCTATCGACCATTCTACTTTAAATAAGGGGAAAAAAGGAGAGAAGGGAAATTAATGAATACCTTTTGCAGTAGTGCTCTTGCGTTCTTGAGCTCTATATTGAAGCAAAACATATGGATCTATTCCACCACCTGAACCATATATAGCAACACCAATTCATAATACCAACTATTAAATCAAAATACTCAGAAGATGTCACAATTTAAATGACACGAATACTGTTTGAAAAGTTAATCTTTTACTGAATATACTTATATAAAATAATTAATTTATAATACTATATTAAATGCAACTTTGCTCATCCTACAGCAAAGTAGCAATAAACAAAAGATATAATCTTGCATGAGTTCAATTTAATAGAAAGGAAAGTTAGGTGAATTTAAGCTGAAGCTAAACAAGAGAATGGAAAACAAAGAGAACACAAGAGTAATGAATCAATACCCCAGAATTCATTGTTCTTGAGACCACGAGCATTGACAAGATTGACCTCCATTGTTCCAAAGATGGTCGACATCTCTCACTTGCCCACAAAGAGAATATGATTCAAAAGAATTTAATTAAGCTCTCTTGTGAATGGCTGAATGAAAGAGTGAAATTAGCATTCAAATACAAATGTGGATGCGTGAAAGAATTCAAAGAGATTCTATAGCATGTTTGACTAAACTTCTTTTTTCTCTTTTTTGGTCAAAAGAGTTTTTTCTCAAAGTTAAGGTGTTTGGTTAAGTTTTTAGAAGAAAAAAGTATTTTTGATTAGATGCCGGAGCAGTTTTTGAGAAACAGAAAAAAGTAGTTTCTCCTTAAAGTATTTTTTTGAAAATCACATTTGAGAAAAATACATTTATAGCTTGTTTCCAAGCTTCTCCAAACTCAAAAATATTTTTTTTTTTCAAAGCTAAAGTGTTTAGCCAAGCTTTTAGAAGAAAAAGAATGCTTTTGAATAGAAGCAGTTTCTTAGAAGCGGAAAAAAGTAGTTTCTTCCCAGAAACATTTTTTTGAAAAGCACTTTTGAGAAAATATACTTATAAGCACTTCTTAAAAACTTGGACAAATATTAATTGCTGCTCAAAAGTACTTTTCAAAATTAATTAACCAAACACAAAATGTTTCTCACCAACAAAAAAAAATATTTTTGAGAAAAAAATACTTCTTAAAATAAATTGATTTTAGAAGCTTCAGCTGACGCAACTCCGTACCGACGCCTCACTACTACTTTCATTTTTCTTTTATTTTAAAATTAATTAACGGCTAGGTGTAATTTAATTAATTCAGTACTTAAGGTCTTCCCTCGTCAAACGAATAAAAAAAATCAAGTTGGCTTTTCGCCGTGCTCCTTTTCATTTGATCAAACAAAAAAAGTACTTGGGCCTTAGAGGCAGCGGCTGGGAAAGCGAAGGGAATAGGAAGACCAGGAACGAAGTCACTCGACCCAATGTTAATGACCTCATTCAATCTTTTTTTTGAGCCTTCGCTACCGTGGGCTAGATGGATAGCTAGCTGCGGTAGAACGTTCTTGACGATAGTGTATAACGTTTGGATTTACGGTTTATACAAGATTTTAAGAGTGTTCGTTTTCATCTTCGCGTTATAGACCACACTACTGGGATCATCACCAAAATATATCAGGCCAAACAAACTAGTACTGGTTTTTAGAGAGCGCATATGAGGTAAAATTGGGAATATAAGTATGTTTTAATTCTGGCAGCTTGTCAAATCACATCATGGATTCCAACTCTAGTGTTTGTAACTATATGATCTTTGGCATTTGTTCCTTTTTCAGAGAATCTCACGCTTTAAGCCGGATGCTTGTACCTTTTTCCTTTTGATCATGAAAATTATGTAAAAAGTATTAATTTTGTTGACATACAAGTTGTCTAGCACATGTATACACATGTACTATATCATAGCTAGCACATGTATGAGTTGTATAGTAGGTGTAATTAGGTGTATGGCAACTAATAGATTAGGTAAATTAGTATTATAAATAGGTCTTGTAATCTTCTCTTCTAGATATGAAATATAGAACTTCTTTGGTTTCTAACAAATTTCATGTGACGATATTTAGCTTGACATGAAACTTATATTCCTACAATAGATTAGTGATGATTAAAAGAATATTAAACTAGTGATTGAAAAGAAAAAGGTAATTAGGTTTTTTTGTTCAGATAGTTCTACAAGGGTCAAACTAACTGTTGACCAGAGGCGAATTCGGGATTTATAGTCTGTGAGTTCAACTTTTAAGGTTATAGTATTAAACCCATTATATTTTTAAAGTTATGGGTTTCAAACCTACCATTTGTTGCAATTTTAATGAATTTTTACACATAAATTTATGCTCAGCAGCGAAAATACTGGATTCAGATGAACTCGACATATATACCCTACATTCACCTCTGCTGTTGACTAGCAGAAAGTGTTCTTTACAATGAAATATTTAACTTAAGGGCAGGGCGGAGCTCGAGTTACTTTTTGACATCAAATCAGCTCAAGTATTGATTTGAAGGTCAACAACAACAAAATCTCAGTATATTCCCACACGTGGAGTCTAGGAAGCTGAAGGTCAAGTCAGCCAAAATGCCAGTGAACTTTTTTCACCATCAAAGTGAACAACATGTCTATATTGTATTGGGGAAAGACACAGAAAGATTGTACTTTCCTTGCCAAAATCTACAGTTCAATAAGGAACTTATTCATTCTCAAACCATAAACCAAATACAGGCAATGACACTGTTGGCATGCTTCTAAATATAAAAGAATCAATAACACATGCCCACAAAGAATTGTACACCAACTGACCAACACTTGTTGATCTGGTAATTGCCTCAATAAAATCCTTCTTTCCTGCAAGCATAGATTTGGTGCTTTGGAACTAGAAATTTCAAAGAGTCCTAAATACAAACTTACTTATCATGTGAACGTGAATGGAAAAAAAAAAACGCCCCAACCGGAGATGTAAGGTTGGGGACAGCGGCATGGCAGAATAGATGTAGATTATTTCTTCTCCACACTACACGATTCCTGAGATGTGCCATCCGTGCATGCATTACTAGCTGGTGGAGGTAGGTCATCTGAAACCCTGATCCGAAACGTTTGCTGTTTCTCTTCGTTCCCTGGAACATGTACGAGAGCTTCCATAATGAGGATCTCCCAGTCGCTCGGTCGTAAAAATGATGACCATTTGTCCTCTGCTCCAAGTATTTAAACAACAGCAGTACTAGTTAGACAAGTAAAACAAGTATCTTGAGACAATTATGAACCTGTATGTAACAATAAACGTCTTTCTCTTCTAATCTTTTCTCTACAGTAAAGTAGTAGCAACTCATTCAAAAACAAAAAAACCCAGTTAGTCCATTTTCCTCGTTCTCAATGGAAAGCTAAGCAATCTGAAGATACCTATGATGGTCAAGAAATAATTGATTTACTTAATAGATTTATCAGTTGATAATGGAAAAAAATTGGAACTTTGATAGTCAAGAAATAATTGATTTACTTAATAGATTTATCAGTTGATAATGGAAAAAAATTGGAACTTTGCAGGAATTTAACCTTATCACCACCACGACTTAAAAACAACGGATAAAATATTCCAAAGCACATTTGGCAATTTCAAAAAAAAAAAAAAAAGATAGAGAATGTCTACTCCAAGCAAATATATCAAAAGAACAGCACAAACCTCCATTACGAACTGCCTTTAACTGAAAAATTCCAGTGCCTTGTGGTCCAGAGACGGGGAATGTGCATGATACAGAATGCCTTTGGTGAGCTACTGCTAATGATGCATTATACCAAGGACCTCTAACAATGGGCTCCCCAATAGCATCTAGAATCGTCTTATTCTTACTGGCTTTCTCCAAGGCCTTGCTGCAAGGGAACAATAAATGATGAAATAAGAAAACTGGAATCTCTATAGCCAGGATATAGAGACAGTAAACCACCGCCTTCCCTCGCTACCCTATCCTCATCCCTACCCAAGAATATTCAGATACCAGTGTATATATATATATATATGTTTTACATACTTATTTAAAATTTACTACTGCAGGAAATATGTGGAACATAGAACAAAAAGATCAGTTTTATCTAAAGCATCTTCAGTAAAGAAATTTGTAAGATCAGGGTAACTAGCATGTAAGATCCCGGATTCAAGCCGTGGAATTAGGCATTGATGCTTGCATCCGCGTGGGCTGCCTACATTACAGCCCCTTGGGGTGCAACCTGCGTGAACGGATGCTTCATGTACCGGGCTGCCCTTTTCATGGTAACTGCAATTAGCTCCATTATTCAGGGACATGATTCGTAAAACTTGGTCAGAAATACGCAGAAGAAATTACATGCACTACATCTAAGGGATAAGATGAATACGGAAGAATGGATGAACAAACCAAAATTTCCCAAGGGAACTACAACCCCAATCAAAAGATTAACTTAAAGAAACTACAAACCCAAGTATTAGTGGCTAGCTTAAGTAAAGCTTCAAACAAACTGCCAGTTGAAGTCCATTAGCTGGCATTTAATGCACAAAGTTCCAAAATACACTGTCATACACATTATTTGTTGCATGTTTATAATAGTCTAGAGATACTTTTCTACTTTTCATAAGATGAACAGACAAAATGAAAACCACTGCTGCCAAAAATTATGGACATAGTAGAGCTCAAAGAAGCAAATTTATGCAGCAAGATCAGCATTAAAATAAGCCTTTTAGGCTAATTTCATGCTAAATCCTATTTATTTTGTGTGTTCATCGAAGCAAGCCCATTAAGGGCACCGCGGTTTGCACTCGATGCCTTGTCCATCTTTTCTTCTCTTTAAAATTTCAATGTTGCTCCCTCATTTGACTGATGAATATACTTCGCATAAGTTAGGTGTTATACAAGCAACTAAACTCCTTATTTTGAAACATTATTGACGCTATATATATGTACATGGAAATACTAAACAGGTTTGTCATAATTTCTGAACACAAAAGCTAGTACACATAAATGACATAGATATGCAAAGAAAGAGGAATTTTTTTTATTGTAGTCAGAACGAAGAGAGCTTTCAAGGACTTATTTCCTTGTCTTGGCTTTATGTTTTCTTAATTTTTCTTCAATTTATGGAAGGACAATTAGGTAATCATCTAGTCACCTAGGCATAGGGTCCGTGCCAATTGAGGAACATAAAATCATAATTTGTTTTCCAGCGCCTTTTTCCCAAAAGATGGGCGGGAAGGGGAAGGGGAATAACAGTACAGTTTCAACATTAAACCAAACAGTAGTACTACAATTTGATTCAAAATAGTTTCAAAACTAAAACAGTGTTCTGGTCTGGAAATTTTTCAATGGTACTTTTACAATTTGGTTAGGTTTCATCCCAAATCAAACAAACAGCAATGGACGCCGTTACCTAAACATTAGTCTATGCTGGAAAACAAAAGCGAATGCCTGGCTAACACCACCATTTTAACAAGGACTTTTGTAACAATTAATCAAAACTTATGTTCATTTTCCCAGCAAACCATATGGCCACTAATTTGTATTTCTAGCCTCCTACCTCTCCCTCATGAATATTGACTTCCATTTTAGAAGCAGGAGTTGCTACTTTAGCGATGGGGAAGAATTGTTTCCTTAATGTTGATTTCATGCACGTTTTACCATAGCAATTTCTTTTGGAGATTGATAAAACAATATGGATATTTATAGTGTAAGCTATTTGCAAACGATTTTTGTTAATTGGCAAAGCCACTGAGAAGTCACCCACAAGCTAGAACTATGGAAATATACTCTAGAGGGCAAGGATGTTGTGATAAATAGAATAAAGAAATAATTGATGTGCTGCAAGTTTAGCCGGTATAAGAGAAATGGAGTGAGATGAAATTACACAGGATTATGATGCCTAAATATAGACAACTCATACTTAGTGATGCATCACTTAGTCATGAATAAAATGCAATGGAAGCCAAGTATCCATAGAGGTGATATCAACTAGCTGTGTGATTAAATTCGTCATTGCAGGTACCCCTACACTAAGTCTAGTCTTTGAAATGAGACATATTAGTTTGGGGAAAAATTGTATGCTATAGTAGGAATAAGTGTGAGGCCAAATCCTAGTTTCATAAAACCCCTAATTTGTCCTAAAGAAAAATTATTGGATATTGGAATGAAACTGGGCTCATACGGAGGGAAATTGATATTGAGAATTCACATAACCAACCCCAGATAATATTGAGGCGTACTAGTCGTAAAGTCAAAACTCTAGGTCTTCACAGCCTTCCAAAGTGTGGAAATCGGAAATCTAAAACTTTTTTATCAGATCTGCGCCTTCCTAACAAACCTTAGTCATGAGGAGCCAAAATCTAAAACTTTCTTTTATCATTTCTTCTTACCCTTCACTGCATAAATGTGCCAACTTGCAGATCATTTATAAGGCATGTATGAGAAGATAACAGATTTCATCAATGCAAGGTTAACACCCAAACATAACCTTTCAACAATAATAGTTTTTCAAATAGGTGAGCAGAACATGATATAAAAAGTACAGTATACACGAAGTTAATTGAAATAAAGTAAAGGATATCCTAAAGGTTGAGAAGGAAAAACAGCCAGTGATATTCGGCTTAAATATATGGAGGGTTCATTGTATAAATAAATTCCGAGGTCCACATTTAATACCACAAAACATGACGTATTAAAAGAACTAAGACAAATCTTTATTCATTATTCTTCTTGCTCTCTCCTTTTCTACCAGCGCACACCTCAAGTTCTTTTATCCAAGAGACATCTCCCTTCTCCCCCACCCCACCCTAGCCAACCAGCCCCCTCCCCATAAAAGAAAAAAGAAAAGAATGAGAAAACACTCTTGTGGCTCATTATCCTTGCGAACAAAGTCATCCATATTCAGCCCTCCAAGACACCCTTTGTCGCGGAATCGTCTTCTCCTACCATACACCACTCTTAGTTACTCATTTCCTCCAATCCCTCTCCAAGCATCAAATCTCACAAATGTGAAGGAGAGCAACATCACTGGAGAACCCAAGTAGCCCCTTCAAAATAGATCCATTTATGGTCATAATTTTTCAATTCTCTCAAATACCAAAGTAAGGCATCATTCCTTCTCAAGCTCCCAATTAACTACCAACGGTTCACCAAATATCACAGTAGTAATTGAGACCAAGGTAACCTAAAGTTGTTATTCCAGCCTTCCGATACAAATGCACACACAGCAAAAGATGCCAAAATATACATTCTTGACTTTTCAGATTGCGAAAATTATTGATCGGAAACCGCCTCTGTGCCCTCCCAGGGTAGGGGTAAGGCCTGCGTACACACTACCCTCTCCAAACCCCACTTGTAGGAACTCATTGGGTTTTTTGTTGTTGTTGTTGTTGTCTACTTTTGTAATGCATCAAACAACTAACATAAAGTGCAAAGTCTGGCACTGGACTTGCTTCACAACTTAAGTTGGAATAGCATATCACTAAGATATGAACAAGAGCTTAAGAAGATTTGGGCACTCGGTTGAGAGCATCTCAAAAGGTGAGGTTTCAACCATCACTTTTGTTGGCAGAGTTTATATCATAGAAGAGCTCAACTCACCAGAGTCAAGGTCCTCTGTACGATCTAAAATGTAAAATATAAGTTCTCTTTTGAATATATTTGTTTTGGCAACCGAGAAATCTTTTGTTTTCGGTTTCTAAACTCGGTGGATAATGAGCATATTGCTCTATCCTTCTCCACTTACATACCAGACTAGTTCAGCAATCATGACTTGCTCCAACCACACATCCCCTACTGTACATTGAACCAGATGTCCTAGATCTATTTTGGATATAAGCATAGGGTCAAATCATGCTTGACTGAATTCTTCCATCCTTAACAGTTAAATAGGAACCCCTAATTTCTAGTGGAAATAATAATTTTACAACAATCTTATCTAATACGAGCAGATAAAAAACACCTGAAAACATAAAAATCCAGGCGGAAGAGCATTGAAGCCCATAATCATATTATAAAAGTTTCATACACCATAAAGGATGAAAAAGAAAACCCACATTTAAAAGACAAATTTGATCATTTTCTGGCATTATCCAAATCAATGAAGCAAAAAAGCAGGAACCTTCCCAACAAACACACACACACACAGAGGTATTCTAATATTGTCAAAAAAACAGCAGGACAAGACCAAAAAATATCGAACCGGGAAATATAAAACCAAACCTGCTACAGCTATGATATATAGAGAGATCATCAAGAGCACTTAGAGCAACTCCTCCTGTTAAGCAAATCAGTGTACCCGACACTATCCTTCTTCCCCACGTCTTAGCCTTCCCTTCCTCTGCCACCACTTTCTCCGAACTATATCAGAAGATTTAATCAATCAATTTGGAGCCACATACATTGAAGGGTGGTCAGTTGAGTCTAAAAATTAAACTGCTTATAGGTCAAAACATACTCGCCGTATCTTCAATCTAAAATCTGTATAGATATACTTCCATTATAAGCGATAAGCATAGAAAAGAAAAATTAAATATGATGTGAAAATGGTAATTCAAAAGAAAATTAACTTACGGTGATGGGTTGCGACGCAAGAAGGAGATAAATCTTCGCCCGAACATGGCTTCTGTGAGTCTCTTCAGCACGAAACCCCCCTTAAACCCCAAAATCAAATGTTATGTAAATTATACTAAATTTTGACTTATTTTTGTAATTTTATCTTAAAAATAAGTGTTTAAAAATATTATTTTACTCTATCCAAATACTACAAAGGCTTAAAAGTTATTTTGGTCTAAAAACACTTAAAATAAGTCAATCCAAACGGGCTCTACTTATTGTTCTTCTCTAGTACGTTTAACAACGTCGTATCTTTGTGATTTAACACTTAACTACAAAGCATTTTAGTTTTTTTTTTTTAAGTAAAATAATTTCTTTTGTAGGAAATAAACTAATTATTAAAGTTTACTACTCCCTCTCTGATCTAATTTATGTGATAATATTACTAATTAGTGCATAGTTAGCTACTAATTAGAGATGTCTTCACTCTTTAGTCACTGTTTAAAATATATTTAATCATTAGCGAGTGCTTAATAAATTTGTACCCGTCCGAACGAAATACACTTGTGCTAAACATGGGTGTTGTGTAAATATTAAGGACATGGTATTCTTAACTTCATGAATATTGTGTAAATATTAAGGACAAAATGTCATGTATTTGCACCTTCCGTTGTTAAACTTACTCACATCTTATATTTATGCCAAGCATATGAATACATAAATCCGTCTTCACATACCTTGTTATCACTAAACTATAGCTAACTAATGCACATTTTCACCTCAATAACCATGGTCAATTAAGGCAATTTGATGTAAATATTAGGTGCGGAAAACTTTTTACCCCACTATATTAGGTAATTGCTTGATCCTGCAAAATGAGGGCCGCAGTATAGACAGAAATACATAACAGTCCAGTGAAGTGAAAATAGCTTAATTCATTCAGTTGGAAAAACTTTAGTATAGTCAAACCTCTCTATAACAGTCGATGTTTTTTGGATATTATGTTGAAGTGTTGTTATAGAGGATATATATATATATTATCATATAACATAAAAATCGCTTCCAAGAAAAACTCAGCTTTTATAGTGAATGACTTTTATACAATCAAACTTCTTTGTAACAACCTTGTTTGATCCGATATTTCTTGGATGCTATAGTGAAGTGATGATATAGAGAATATATTATATAACACAACATAAAAATCGGTTTCGAAAAACACTCGGCTTTTATAGTGATGACTGTTACATAGAGATGTTATAAAGAGGTCTGATTGTATAGAGATGTTATAGAGAGATCTCATTGTATAGAGAGGTTTGATTGTATACACAACATAAAAATCTGTTCCGAGAAAAACTTGACTTTTATAGTGAATGACTGTTATAGAACAATGTTATAAAGACGTCTGAATGTAAAATCCTATAACATAACGTGAACAGAATTGTTTCCTCTTTTCTTTTCTCAAAATCAACTATGCGTCAGTCCCAAACAAGTTGGAATCACCTATATGAATCCTCACTAATTGTTTTTCTCCATTTAAACTCATCTCAGGAATGTATAATATTCTAAAAAAAAAAAATACAGAACAAAAATGTTAAAAGTCCTTTTCCTTCACATCTTTGGCTCTCAAAAACTAAAAGGTTATATACAACAAAAGGCTATATAGCATCAATATGTAAAGAAAACATCCAATGCTAAATTTCCAGCTAGATCAAAATAAGAACTGTAGACTGCTTAGTTGCTTGATACAAATTTACAACATATTTCCTAGTTTCCAAAGATTCAGTCTAACATGTCCCATCTTTTTCTCTCATTTCAGGTAGTATATATGGTTAAAGCTGTTGTCATTCATTCTCTTATTCAAGTAACAAGCTGAGGAGAAGCAGCTGGCCTCGGGTAAGACGAAGTTTTTCTTCTTGAAGCTTCATCGGTACAGGTTCTACGATGTTTCCTTTGTGTTTGATCACGTTTGAGACTTCCCGATTCATTTGAGTTCTGAAGTTGCTCTAGTGCTTTTACGACCTCGTGCATTTTGGGCCTGAATTTGGGTTCTAATGCCAAGCATTTGACCGCGAGAAGTGCTGCCTTTAGTGCTCCTTCCACTGAGTACTGACCTTCTATACGCGGATCCATAATACGAAGGACTTTTCGTTTACTAGAAAGAAAAGGCTTAGCCCATTCAATTAGATTCTGCTCCCCGTGAGGGCGGTTTTTGTCCACCACTCGACGGCCTGTCAGCATTTCTAGAAGAACAACCCCGAAACTGTATATGTCACTTCTTGCAGTCAGGTGGCCTACACAGGTGAAAGTGACAAATCAGAAAGTGAACAAAAATTTTTACTCTTAAGAGAATTATTGCATATGTATAATGTGTGTGTGTGTGTCAAAGCTCAGAAGTGAACAAATGTGGGTGAACAGGGCCATCTCTGGACGGACAGTTTTAAGTAGCATAAACTGAAGATGTGTAAACTAAATCAAAGCGAGGACGCATTACCTGTGGCCATATACTCGGGAGCAGCATAACCATAGGTACCCATTACTCTAGTAGATACATAGCTTTTACCGTCCACTGGTCCATCCTTCGCCAATCCAAAATCAGAAAGCTTCGCATTGTAATTCTGTCAATTTGTGGCATGGACAGAACGTAAGAGAACCATAGTAAAACATTCTTAAACTTCAATAAGACTAAATTTCCATAGTTTTCACATACAGCATCCAGCAAAATGTTAGATGACTTGAAATCGCGATATATAACTTTAGCTTCTGGGCTGTGAAGATATGCCAGTCCCTTTGCTGCCTCAAGAGCAACCTTCATCCGGAGATTCCACGATAGTGGTTGGAAATAAGTACTCCCTGTTCAACATATATCAAAGGTTGAGCGGTGACATTATATTATTAGTTGTCGCTAAATACAAAATGATGGTTTTAGACGAGCTATACTCACTTCTGAACAGATGATTTTCCAAACTTCCTCTAGGCATGAACTCATATACCAAAAGCCTGTGTTCATCTTCTAAGCAATATCCAATCAACTTCACGAGATTAGGATGAGAAAGCGAACCAAGGTAATTGATTTCTGCCTGTAGTTGAAGTTCGCCAAAATACCAATTAATCAATTTATCAAGATCAAGACTCACAGTTAACATGATCAGCTAACTACATTATAGTTAGATATTCTATCTTTAACAATTCTGATACGTCCTAAGTATAAACAAATTGATCAACAAAGTTTGTTTACCAGCCATTCTTTGTGACCTTGAAAGCCCTCTTGGTTCAATCTCTTAACAGCTATAACCAAACCAGTTCCCGGCCGTGCAGCTTTAAATGTATGCTCATCGATCCAACCCTTAAAGACACAACCAAAACCGCCTTCTCCCAACACACTATCTGGACGGAAGTTCCTCGTGGCTACTCGGAGTTCATTGAAACTAAAGCTTTTCAGATTTGAGGATTCCAGGATCTCATTCTGGCTCCGCGGAGTCAACGGAGCTGATGAATATGAAAGCCTACTACTCAAGTCTCTTCCATCACTTGCTCCTGCAAAAGAAACATGGTTACTTATCACCAAAAATATCATGTCATAGTCAGAAAGGCGGATATAGCATGTTTGCTACACACACACACACAAAAAAAAAAAAAAAGATACTAAATTTCCAACAAATATCAAAATTCCGAACTCGTAATTCCAAAAGTACAATAGGTTCGATGATAAGATTTTAAAGGTTGAATCCATCAAGGTTAAAATACTGGATCCGCCTCTGCTCATGAATGGAATCAAATAAAATTTAGAAATTTTCCATCGACCTTCATTTCCACCGACCTATAGAATCTTGAACATAGTAATTGTCTACAAAATGTTGAACTATAATAGCAGCTTAAGAAAATTGTTTTACTATTCTCATAACAATTTGGAGAAATATTTTAGTACATACAGATCCAACAGATCCCATATATAAGCCAGAAATAGTCTTATAAACCTAGTACACCATTGTTTTAATTGATCCTATAAAAAACAGAGACCATGATTTTGAATCTAAATTGACAGAATATCCAAGTTGAATTATAACAGTTGGCAGAGACGGATCCAAGATTTAAACCTTATGGGTTCCAGGGGCAGAGGGAGAGTATAAATTATGGGTTCGGACGAACCCAATAGCTTTTGCTTAGACCCTATATTTGTATTAGTAAATCCATTAAATATGTGTAAATATTCAATTGTGAACCCAGTAACTATAACGAGCTATGGGTTCGACGGCAAGTTTAGAACCCATAAACTTCAAATTCTAGCTTTGCCTCTGATGGGTTCAACTTTTAAAAAAATTAGCTTTGAACCCGTTATATTTTTAAAGTTATGGGTTCATATCTACTATTTATCCGCTTCAAAAGTTATGAGTTCAATTAAACCCGTCGAATATGCGCTACATCCGCCCCTGACAGTTGGATCAAAATATCTCAGTACAAAAAAAAAATTGCCTCTATACTGATCCACAAATCCCAGAGATAACCTTAAAATAGTTCCATAAACCTTATACAAATTTCTTCCAATTGAACCTATAAAACAACACACCATGGTTTTGAATCAAAATGGCTAAACAACAACAACAACAAAACTAGTGTAATCCCACAAGTGGGAACAAGTGGGATCTAAGGAGTGTGGTGTGTACGCAGACCCTTGAAAAATTAGAGAAACTATATCCCAAAAAACACTCAGCTCAGGAAAGATTTTAATTAGAATATCCAAGTTGATTTATAGCTAGATAACTTCATAACAAAACCATAATTTTCCATAAGTAGTAAAAAAAGAGTCTACCTTTACCAGTTTCATTACAAAATCCAAGTTCATTTTATAGCATAATAACTTTATAACCATACCCAAAATTTTCCACAAACAGTAGTACTACAAAAAAAAATATTTAACTTTACCAGTTTCCTCAAGTCTGTAAACATGTCACAGCTAATTAAACATATTTTTGATGTTGGTTTTTAAGTGGGATAAGATACAAAACATAAATGAATTATATTTACCAGCATGAAGAGGAGACTCGGCTTTAATTCGAACACTGATACAAGACCCCATATAAATTTGGCAACTAAAGCTTCAATCTTTCTTCTTTCTT